TCTTGACTGTTTTCTTTGTTTGGCACTTTTGGTTTTTTCTTTAGTTGCTGGTTTAGTTTTAGCCAGAATCTACTACGGCTCATCTTTTCTCTTTAAATCATCATCAAATGATCATCTTCATCATATATTTTCATACCTCAACCTACTAAGGTGATTGGAAAGGTGGGTAAGTAAAAATGGCATGGAGTTGGTGGTTGGGTTGGAATAAAGAGATTGTGCAGACGATTTTTGACTGGAAGTATTATAGTTCCAGTCCCTAAGTCCAAATAGTAGCTAGAAGAGCTGTATAAAGTATTTTTTTGTTGTAAATAATAAGTTTGGAACTATGTCTAACAGTTTTTTAATTTAGTCTGCATGTACAATTGTAGTGCAATTCTGTCATTTTTAGTCGTGTAAGTGGACTCCATATCTTTTATGTACGTATAGACCTAAGTAGTTAACCCTATTTGCTGCAAGAAGAGGAATTTGATTCAGATAAACAGGACGGCGAGTAAAGGGGCATATATTGAGATTTTGTTTCCATTTATTTTTTATTCTCCCTTCATGGAACAACTAAATTAAGGAGTTGGTCTTGGCGGGATCAAACTGCTAGGATACAGTTTTATCATAACCAAAGGTGTGAGTGTGTTAGTTTTGAAAGAAGTCAGCTGTGTATGTTGGAAAGTAATGGACTTAAGATGCTCCCTCGAGGAACACCAAAGGGAGAATTGACCAGAGAGGTTCTGTAGGTAGCATGTACTCTCCTACAGGTTATCCTATCAAATATAGTTCATGCTATAATTTTAATATTGTATATACATTTTGATTTATAAAGTTGCTTCTACGGGGGTGTCGGTGGCCGCAACGGTTTAGGCGTTGACACGGCACTCATCACTGTAAGCTGAAGGTCGTGGGTTCGAATCCAGCGACCCTACATTTGAACCCAACATACTTACAAATGTGCTTTTTTTCAAAAACATTGGCACCCTGAGGTTTGATATGACCTCTGCTGTTGCGAACCCTCGTAAAAAAAAAAGTTCCTTCTACTTCAATGTGAATACTTTTCTCAAAAACAAAGGGTTATAGAAAAAAATGTAAATGGTAACCCCATATTTTTTTTTTTCTAAAGATCTAAAATAGTGACATTTTTTTAATGCCAGTAATAATTAAGTATAAATTACAATTAATTAAGGTTTTTGGTGGAGATAAAAAAGTCAATGGCACGAGCGGGATTCGAACCCATGATCTTCGGCTTGATACGCCGCTGCTCTACCACTTGAGCTATCATGACCTCGACCCACTAGGACACCAAATTCCCATCTCAACCCAACCTTTCGAATTCTTCCTTGAAAAATGGCAAAAAGGAGGGAAAATTCAAAAGGTGCGGTTGAGATGGGAATTTGGTGTCCGAGTGGATCGAGGTCACGATAGCTCAAGTGGTAGAGCAGCGGCGTATCAAGCCGAAGATTGTGGGTTCGAATCCCACTCGTGCCATTGACTTTTTTATCTCAATTAAAAACCTTAAGTAACTTAATTAGTATTTTAGTTTCAAAGTCCTGATTGGGATATATTCGTTGAAAGCTTGATGAAGGAACTAAGCATTGAACAAAAACATTGTCAATCCTATTTTTAACATTAAAAAATTCGTAATACACTTAAAGTAAAAAAAAGTTGTTTATTTCAAACTATATCTATTTCTATTATTATATTAATTACAATACATTTATTTTAATGTAAACCAAATTAAACGATATCTGAAATTTATGAGTTATCATCATTTAATTATGATCATTTGGAAGAAAATTCACCAAAACACCGGATAATCATTTAGTGATCGATGAAAATTTAACAATTCATGGCCTAGTTTTTCTCTCAATAATGTGTATTACCGCTTCTGGCCTCCCGGAGGGGCTAGTCTCCTAGGCATCAAGTGATCAGATTTTGTCTTGTGAAACAGAATCCTTCTTCAACAAGAGCAGTTTGAAACTGTTCAATGCTTGTTGGAGGTGGCAAACGATGTCTAACCCTTCTCTTTATCATGCCCCTATATGTGTTTACAGGATTCATGTCAGTTGAACTGGAAATTCATTGTGGTAATCCCTACATCCTCCAAGTAATGGGTGACAACTCGATCTATATGTGGTCAAGGATTATCATGCGATATGAAATTATCCCCAATAAATGGACCTTCCAGAAGAACTTACTCAATGTACCTTAGTGCAGTCAAAGATCCATGTAAGATAATGGGTTCAGTATTGACTTCCTAAAATTACTGCCCTAGAGGTAATAAAACTACACTTTCTGGTTCCACCACTGCCATGCACTATATTTCAAATATTCAGTCCCACGAAACTTAAACGTTAATAATATAGTTATATAGTTTTGACGCTCTCCTTACAACAATGAGTACCTCCAATTCAATTCCTCACATCTCACTTGTAAGACCTGCTCATCCCCAATCGACCTTACCCTTGCGCAACATACAACCCATACCTTCGAAGGATCCTTTCTGATCCGAGCCCCTAAACTCTGGAACTCCCTGACCCTTTCTATTCGTCACGTTGCCTCCTTTTCCTCCTTTAAATCCCACCTGTTTAATCACCTCCTCTCCCTCAAAGCAGAGACCTCACGTTAACATTTGGTATTGTTACTCAATTAATTATACGCAATTTTTTTCAAAATGAAAAATTTGTATCACAGGCGAGATTCGAACCCACGACTTTCGGCTCAATACGCCGCTGCTCTACCACTTGAGCTACTGTGACTTCGATCGCCCGTGCAACAAATTTCTCAAATCGACTACCCGATTTTTTTTTCTTTTTTTTTTTGGCGTTATGAACAATGCATATTAGCCATGTGACAATTCATATATGTGTGTTCAAATTTGGGAGGGTTATTGTGAAAAAAGGGCCAGAGGCGACGGTGGGAATAGAACCCACGACCGCGGCGTGAGAGTCTCTCATGATAACCACTCGGCTACCGCGGTCCCCTGACTACCTGATTTTATTCTAATTGTAAGCAAATCGCGGCTTCATATAGAAACACTTTTTATTAACGATTGTACTAGATTAGCGGGACTGTGTACGATTCACAGGTGTGATTCTAGATTAATACTAAATTTTATCAGCTTCTATTAAATATATAAATACTAAATTATACACAATTTTTTTCGAAATGAAAAATTTGTGTCACAGGCGGGATTCAAACCCACGACTTTCGGCTCAATATGCCGCTGCTCTACCACTTGAGCTACCGTGACTTCGATCGCCCGTGCGACAAACTTCTCATATCGACTACCTGACTTTATTCTAATTGTATTTTTCATTTCGAAAAAAAATTGTGTATAATTAATTGAGTATTTATATATTTAATAGAAGCTGATAAAATTTATTGTTGTTTAATATTCTCGTAATTTTCTCTTCTGGCTTGCCTTACTGGTATACATTGTGCCAAGATTTCTATCTTCTTTTACTTTTAACTTCATAGAAGGAACTTCCTTTATTTATTTCATGTAAATTATTCTTAGAGGATTCCAGTCCCAGAATAAAGTTATTTTTCTTCTTCTATACTTGTCATTGAGAGGAGTCTGTGAGGCTTGCGTGAGCCTCTGGCGTCATCTAGCTTTTTGTTATACAGAGATCTGTTCTGTTTTTCACTGTGATCTCCTATCTGAATCTAATCAGTACATAAATCTAAGTGACCTAGGGTAGGTGTTTAAAATGAGATGTGAACTGTTTTGGCTAAATTACACTCCTTGGGTGGAGGCATTCTGCATTTTATGTAACTCTAAGATCAGAGAGGATATTTTCCATTTCATTGCACAACGTATCATCTTAAATACGCATGCTTCACCAAGGCTGTGGTTCCCTTTCTTGAGACCAATTCATTAACAAGCCTAACTATGGGCCAACTTTACTTGTAGGATTTTGTAGACACACATGTCAATACAGATATTTTTGTATATATGAAATGAATGTTAAGTGTTTGTATAATTTAATTTTGTTTTCTTTATTATTGTTCTTATTTTATTTAGTCACATTTTTAGTTTATGTGTTTTTTCTTTACGTTCTTTGGTAGTCTTTTTTTCAATTCACATTTTGTATTATTCTGCACTTTTGTTGCCCTGTTAACGTTTTCATTCAATTTTGGTAATGGAATTTTCCATGCTGTAATGACACTGATTTAGTAGTTGTAATTTAATTGTACATTATTGGATTATAACAAATAAAGTGCCTTTATTATTATTATAATCGGTTCAGTACAGGGACGTTGATCCCACTCCATACCACAACTGACTGTCTTTGAAAAAGGCTGTGATTCATGCATGGCACATAAAGCAAAACATTCCCCATACAACATCCCGGTCATTTTATTGCTACAAATCAAACCGGCACACATCTGTAAATTGAACAAAATAATAAAAATTATCACGAAGCTTTCTGATGACTATTTTAGAGCTCACCCGTTCATTACGTTTGGAGTTGACTACCTATCAAGAAGCCATTAAATTACAGTTCCGTAGTGCGATAAGAACAAAAAAACGATTGTCTCTAGCTGTCGTATATCGCGGTCGACCACTACCTTACCTCTTCGAGTGAGACTTCCAGTGGCCTAAACCGCTGTAAAGCATGGCACAACCCAGACGAGTTATGTAACATGTCCGTTTTTTGTCTTTGAGGGTAAATGAATTGTTTAAGAAAAATTTTATTAGACAAATGAGAGAGATTAATCGTGATTCCAATCAGTTAAATATAAATTGTGTGAACACCTACGATCTAAATTGAACTAGTTGAGCAATTAAACTTCGGCAACCTAAATTTGTCTGTTCGGTCTTTAATAAAACAAAATTTCTTTGACCATATTAATAGTACACACAATAAACTGTTCCTGCATCTTATTGATAGTGTTGGGTGTGCTTGTGGAAAAAATGCCTTTCATTGGTAATTTCTAAATTATTAAACAATTAGATCCAGCTAGGACATAACAAAAAAAAGACAAAACACATAAAAAAAAATAATTACCTTATTTGTTGAGTCCGAGAATAAAGTGGTTGTAAATTTCTGATGTTGTTCAATATGCTGTTTGGCCATTTCGATTTCCTTCTTCTTTAACTCAAAAACAACTTGAAATAAATCTCTCATAGTTATTACCACCTAGAAGAACAATTCATTAAAATACTCATACAAAATTACTTTCCAATTCAAAACATTGATCGATAAAAAATTTAAAAATGAAAAATCTAAGTATATCTGGTTGAAATATACCTGACTGGCAGCTTTATCGGTCTTGATACCAAAGAATCTATGTCCAGTATCGGGACTTCCGAATATGTATCCAAACGCTCTAGAATCTGACATGTCTTGAGCTATGAAAGATATCTTGTGGACAGGATGATGATACAAACAATCCTAAAATAGATAATAAATCTGTAGATAAACAACCTGCTGCATGATTAATTTTATTAAACTAAATCATTTTTTTTACAATTATAGAGTAAGGACATAGGAATAAACAATGAAACAATTGTAGCATTGACACAGAAAAGATGAAGTCAACTTGTGAAGGGAAACATAATTCACAAAGGTGGTTAATGTTTACAAGGTTTAAAAAAAAAGTAGCTTGATGTGGGTTCAAAACATGAGTGAAAGGCTCGAATGAGCAATGAACGATGTGTGTGTGTGTTCAAAAAGATTGACTAAGGATATCTTACACTGTCTGTACTTTACAAAAGGAAAATGAAAAAAAAAATGTAATAGCAGATCTGGTGGCAGTTTACTACACAAATAAATATGGTTATTAAAACTAATTATTGGAATTACCCCAGTTTTTTCATCTCTTAAACGTAATCCGTCAATCGCTATGTTGATGTTAATCCTCTGTTTGTGCTCGCCAGCTGCTCTGATGGCCATTTTCAGATCTGCCAGAGCCTCCTGACACATTCTGTCTCCCCTCGCTTCGCTCACTTCTAAGATTCCAATTAGTTTCGCCTTAAAGCTTACCCCATCTCCCAAGAATCGTGCAGGCTCATTTTTATCTGAAAACGTCATTTTGTTCAAATAACTATTACTAGCCAATATGGTATTAAACAAACATTGATATACAACAAGTGTACGAGGGCAACAAATTTAACAAGTTCAAACGATGGAAGGAATGTCTATTCAATAGTAGAAAATGAGTGTTCCATTCTCTAACTTTTGTGCAGTGATCCAGAGTTCGAGCATTAAAGATCCACCATCAGAACAAGTCAATTTGATAGCATTTATTCCTCAAAATCTAGACAACTGAGTAAAACAAGTTCATGAGTGGAACTATTACTTTCCTCCGTTGAATAGACAATTTTATTAGAATGTCTCTGTGCCCCTATTGTTCAATAGGTAATAAAAATCTTACAAACTAAAAAAGTATGGTTTTCTTATTTGTGTGAGTGTGAGAAAAAATAGAGGGGAATGAGATGGAGAAGGTCAGGAGTCTGAAAGTGAGTGAGAAGAGAGAGAGAGAGAGNGAAGAGGAGATAGATAGAGATTGAGAGGAGAACGAAGAGAGGAAAGAGAAAAAGAGAAGAGAGGAGGAGGAGATAGATAGAGATTGAGAGGAGAACGAAGAGAGGAAAGAGAAAAAGAGAAGAGATAGATAGGTAGATGGAGATAGAGAGGAGAATGAAAAGAGGAGAGAGAAAGAAAAGAGAGGAGAGAGGAGAGATGGATAGATTAGATAGATAGATAGATAGATAGATAGATAGATAGATAGATAGATAGATAGATAGATAGATAGATAGATAGATAGAGAGAGAGAGAGAGAGAGAGAGAGAGAGAGTAAATGCAAAATTGCATGCTTGGTAAAAAACATCACAGCTATCAATAATGACAATAGGTCAAATTTCAATTAACATAATAGTACACTATTGAACAACATGAACTATAAACATATAAGACTGCTCAGCAATGAAAGGGGGCAAATTCGTCAAACTGGTAACTTAGTATAACATTTGTAAAGATTCCAACTATAGATTTGTAGGCTTTTAGTTATATGTATTTTTTAGGGGAGGGTGGGGGTTGGGAAAATCTTTTTTCAACGTGCGATGATAAAAAAATAGATGTGTCTTGAAAACATGTTTCATACAAAGGCAATAGATTTTCAGAAACAATCGTGCATGGACCCGGAATAGGAAATGCTGAACACCATCCATCTAGGCATTTTCAATTTGACAGGTTATGAAGTAATTTTTGTTGACTTACATTTGCAAGGACTTGTCTTTTTACGTAGAGTTTGCATCAGCTTAATGAAATTATCAACACGAATAATATTGGATAGGATATTTTTTTTTACAGACGAAACTATTGCATTGTATACGGCCGAGGAGAGGACATACCACAGAGTACTCTCCTACCCTGATATCCTCCATAACTGAAAGTGAGGAAATTCTACCAATTGATCCAACGGGGGTGGTGAGAACAAAACTGTAAGGTAGAGTGTAGAAGGGCGAGTTCTGGAAGGGGGTGACATGCTCAGTTGAATCAAAATCAAATCAATACTTTACTCTTCTTATAACCATTTGACATGTATGTGATTAGTTCATACAGTTGTATTTTTTATTTATTTTTTCATGTAGACTCATTTTTTTAATATGCCAAGAGTAAAAATGCAGTGATGAGTTAAAATACAGGACTACATGCGTGCAGTGGAAGAATCATGTCGACGTACCTTTCCGGGCAAGTGTTGTTGTTGTTGTTATTAAGTTTTTAAAATAAGAAAATCCTCTGGTGTCTTTCTCTTCGTCATCCTTTCCTTGCTTTTTCGATACTGAAGATGACGACCTTTTCAGTTCAGACATTCCTCCTCCGTTTTGTCTTCAAATTTGTCTTCAGATTCGTTCTCCCATTAAAATCCGTGACTTTCACATGTTATTTACGTGCACTGAAAAAATTGACAAAATTTTATATATATAAAAATCAGCTCGAGTCGAAAAAAGATTGTACAATACAAGGTGTATATGAATTATATGTGTACCGGTTAGGAAATAAAATAATTACGTCATAATCGATAAACACCATGGATTTTTATAAAAAGTAAAGATACGTTTTTATTGTCTATCACATAAAAAAAACTATCCTTATACATAATCTCTTACATGTACAGTAATTCAATTTTCCTCTGTATGAATAGGCTTTATTTACGTGCTAACATATTTGCATATAACCCTCATCTCTACACATATACATATGTGCACTATTTCATCCACAACGTCTTGAGAAGGCGCATGGCATAAATCATAACAAGCTATAAAAATACAAAACAGAAAAAAAAACCAATCACAGATATTCGTTTCCTTAAAACACTCCCAATTTCCTGTTTCGGGGGGAAAAAACAACGTGCCAGAAATAGAGAAATGCACAAATCGGAAAGAAACCCTGGAATGAACATTCCGAGTGTCCGACGTGCGAGTGACCCCGTTCGAAAGAAAGGAAGGCAACGGATGAAGGATCACCGATTTTAAAGAAACTTTTCGTGTCTTGACTAGGTCGAAAAATATCGACTTGTACGAGTGTACTTAGTATTGAGCTGTAGGAGACGAGAAATAAAATATTTTAAGTAATTCCCTTGTTTTTTAATTAGGTTTTTCTGATGTTGTTGAGCATGTATTTTCAAATTATTACATATCAGTCGATTTATTTTTAATTTGGGATAATAAAATAATATGCAGGATTGCATGTAACAACTGTGACTCTCTGAATTCAATTCTCTCTCCATCTGGCTCAGACTCTGATGCTCGCTCCTTTTTTTTTATTCAACTCTGACTCTCTGACTGCATTTCGCTGTCAATCTGGCTCAGGCTCTGATTCTCACTCAAATTCAACTGAACTTTCACTCCTGACTATCTGACTCCAACTCTAAATCTATAGCACTCACTCATCCATGGTATGGTATGGTATGGTGGAAGGGATGCTGGGAAGCGGGGCTTGTATTCCCCAGGCACTGCAGCCTTCTGGCTTATTGTACCTTCCCAGTTCCCTAGTTTAGTCAATAGACTCAATCCTTCTTCTCAGAAGTATCAGATCATTGACTGTTATTGCTGCAATTTGGTTCCCTGAGTCTTTTTCGTACGTTAGATTAAACCTCCATTGAGCTGTTGCTTCGCATTCGAAGATGATGCTGTTTCCTCCTCCTCATTACATAATCTGCAAATGGGGTCATCGCTGTATATACCCATGTTGTGTAGATGTTTTCTCAGATACCAGTGACCGGTTAGTAGTCCCACCACTCCTCTGAGTTTTGCCCTCTCCAATTGCAGCAGTGTTTTTGCCAATTTTGGTGAGGGTTGTTTCAGCATAAGTTTACTATGTCTAGCACCGCTAGAGTTTATCCACTTCTCTCTTTGTTTTGTTTGGATCCATTCTGCGATGGAGGATTCTATGTTTGTTTTTGTTATCCCAAGGATAGGTTCGGGGCCTATGTATGGTCTTGCAGATCCTCTTCTGGCCAGTATGTCTGCTTCTTCGTTACCCAGAATGCCCCTGTGCCCTGGCACCCAAGATATCATCGGGTTGTTGTGTTTTCCCAGGTTTTGGAGATTTTGGATACATTCACTGACTAGTTTTGATGTAATTCTTTTACATGCCAATGCTTTAATAGCTGCTTGACTGTCTGATCTTATGAGGATTTTTTTGTCAGTGTAACCTCTTTTAAAATTTTCCAGGACACAAGCGTTGATGGCATGTATTTCTGCTTGAAAGACCGAAGTATACTTCCCTAATGAGTTTGATTGCTCATATTTTGGACTTGTACAGAAAACGCCTGATCCGGTTCCTTCGTTTGTTTTGGAGCCATCCGTATACCATGTCATTGTATCTGGTGCTTTCCTGTGTTCTTCCTCTCCTTTATAGTCTGTTGAGACTTTATAGGAAGTTGTGAAGATTGTTTCCGGGATCATGTAGTCAGTCCCCATTTCTAATAATGGGTGTCTGATTTTATTGATTATGGTTGTATGCCCGAATTGTTTGGTTCCTTTCCAATTTAATTGTTTTTGGAGCCTAAATGAGCTTTTCCTAGCCTCTCCTTGTATAAATATTTCAAGTGGAGGTAGGTTTAGCAAGGTTTCTAATGCGTTTGTAGGGGTTGTTCTCATCGCCCCTGTGATACATAGGTTTGCTAATCTTTGTAAGCTGCCTAATGTTTGGCTACCTACCTTTTGTTGAACTTTGTTCCACCAGATTAGTGATCCGTAGGTTATTCTGGGTCTTATTAACTCATCCATGGTACATACACATACTCACAAAACCACACACATTCACTCAGGCTCAGGCACTGATTCTCACTCACTTTCCGACCCTTTTTCTCTCTCTCTCTCTCTCTCTCTCTCTCTCTCTCTCTCTCTCTCTCTCTCTCTCTCCATCTGGCTCTGACCCTGATTCTCACTCATTTTCTGACTTCAGTCTGACTCCCTGAATACAACTCTCTACAGCTGGCTCAGACTTCGGTCGTCACTCACTTTCTTACTCTTACTCTTATTCTCTGACTGCATTTTGCTGTCTACCTGGCTCAGGCTCTGATTCTCACTCAAATTCAACTGTCCTTTCAACCCTGACTCTCTGACTCCAACTCTAAATCTGTATCATTCACTCATTCAAGGAACACACACACACACACACACACACACACACACACACACGCGCGCACACACACTTCATCTGGGTCAGGCTCTGATTCTCACACTCACTTTGTGAATTTTAAACTCTGACTCTCTGACACCAACTCTAAATCTATATCACGCATGGCACACACTCTCTCTTTCTCAACAAATAATCTTGAACTACATGCACCAAAATGGCAAAAACACAAGTTCAAATATTTCAAATATTTAATTTTTTCGGCTCGTACGACCCAGTGGCAAGAATGCACGGAAACGTGTCTAATATTTGTCGACCTAGTATCATCCAACAACGTTTTATTGAATTCCCACGTCCGTAGCCACCCCTTGTAAGCTAAATACTTTGCCAAAAAAAAGTTATGATGGTGTAAATTTCTAACTGTCTCGACACTAATTTTCTGACTGTCATCATCACAAAATCCTTTTTTTATTTATTTTATAACCCATTAATCTGTAATGATACAATTCACGCTTTCTCTAGCTTTTGAGGGCTGGCTCGTTACTCTTTGAATAAATTTATAATAAATATTAAAGTGGGATAATTATATTTAGAGAGTTCACTCAAATTGCCGCCTCTGTTCTTTCATTGGCCCGAGAATCGTTCGGCTCCGCTGTCTTTCGACCGGCTCGATTCGCGTGAATCAGACGTAAATCACTTTTGAAATAACGAGGCTCTTTATATATTAAATTTTCTTAAAAAGCAAAATGCCTATATCCTTCAGGAAACAAGGGCTATATTCGCACTGGACGTGGGAAAACATAGTCAAAATGGCGTATCGCGCAATCCAATGAGATGTTCATGTTGCATTTGAAAACTTTTGAATATAACTAAACTATTCACGCATCTCTGATTCGACAGTGTCTATCGTATATCGTAAAAAGTAACGAGCTCACGATACCTCCATGGGGGACTCTAAATTTTACTACGTGGTCTGGTAATACCAGTCTGTCAAGTGGTCAAGACATGATAATGTGAACTGGGAAGTATCTTGTTGAGTTTTCACAGTAAACCGGGTGCCATACTCGATCGAAAGTCCGGGCTACAAGAAAGACACCGGAACAATACTGATTTCTGTAATTTATCTTTACCCGTCATCTTAGTCTGCTTATCTTCGCTGGGTTCGACGTCAGTTTTATATGTACAGTACATACCTATGTACAGTTCCAGGTGTGCCAGCAGTCGGTATCAGCATGCCATTCATGGCAGACTGACTTTCTTAGTCCGAAGGTCAGTTGAACACATTTTCTTTCTTTCACTTAGATTCCCCAATTGCGGTACCAGACTATCGATAGAATGAGGTGGCTCTGAAGGCTTACGGATGAGTTGAAGTGAGAAGAGAGGGTAGCCGTGTCGTCGGTAAAGGTGGATATAACTATGTAAAGGAGGAAGTAGGAATATCGGCAGTGTAGGTGGCCTAGGATACTTCGTAGGGAGACTCCCGATTTTACTAGAATATGAAAAGGGATGTTCCAGGTAATAAGTACTGGTAGGTACCTTCTTGAGTTATATCCTGTCAAGAGTCCGGGATACTAGAAAGCCACACGAACAATATTGCTTTCTGTCTTTGCTATCCTCTCTGGGTTGGTCTGTCCATCGCGTTTCACCATCTTTGTGGTTTTTTTTCAATACACTCCTCCTACATTTTACGTTATAAAGAAATTCGATTGAACGGAAATCAAAGACCCAGCACCGATGGTGGCGAGATGACTAAACCCTCCTGACAAAACAGCCAAGAGAGGGCATTCAGACCAAAACGTTCGGCAACGACGAAATTACAGGTTCATCACACTTCAGACCCAAAGAGGTAATGCCATAATATAAATAGTCTATTACCAGTCATTTAAAATAGCCTTTTAAACAAATTGGCTCATTTGAAATTCTTAAAAAGCCTGTTAATTGATTTTACCTTAATTTTACTTTAAAAATCGTTTTCTCCTTTTTATTTCTACTGTATTATGCCCGAAATGTATTGTCATATATCGTCCAGTTTAACACTGTGTTTAATATAAATTAATTTATGGCCAAGATAGAAAATGAGGAAACTCAGTACACACAATAGAATATCCTTGTCAGGAGCAAATTGGACTTTTCTTAAGGATCAGCTCGTTTAATTAATCCATCAGCGTGTTTTTCAATATGCAAATTTGGTATCATTAGCATCCTTATGATCATTGATGGCTCCTATTAGAAGGAAAAAAAGGCTTTCCACTGAAGCACTTCAAATGGTATATTATCAAAGTTATTATTAGAAAATGAGGATAGACGAAC